ACTTCATTTCCATTTGCAAGAGAATTTCATGACTTGTACAATGAACTCTGCAGCTCATGAAACTCTGACAGTGGTCTTCACTCATTTCTTTTGGTTAATTGTAACAAATTTCATTGGCTTCTTATAAAGGAGATTACTTCTGGGAAGGAAATTCCTGCCTGAGGTATATAAGGAGGTGAGAGATTTCCAAGTTTTGTCTCTTGAGCTTATTAATAGTGCATCAAGGTTTCACCCCTTTCAGTATGAATTTAACAGAGGGATTTTACAGTTTCTTTTAGCTATGAAGAAGTGAGAATGCCTCTGCCATTGTCAGAGAGTAACTACCTGTCATTCTTTTTGGCAAGCACCCGAGTAAATGGGTGGCAGCTGGTGACAAAGGCTATGACTTCACTTGCCATTTTCTTGTGATAGCTGAAGCAGAGCCCTGGCCTGAAGCAATTGCTGCTGAGTTCCTCACGTCTCCACTATGCTTTGAGAGGGGAGTTAAGCAGATGTAAATATTTATATCAAATGTGCTTGTTCCAATTGAAGCTGCTAGCACACCTTTACCCCAAAAGAAAAGGGAATGCTTTAGAGCATCATCATTTCCCATTAGTTATGGGGAGAGGGTCTCTTGTGGCAACAGGAACCTCCAGCTATTGCCTTCTACTTTATTGTCTACTACAGATTTTATGCTCAAGGTGTTGCCTGTAGGCGACCTGCTCCCTCTTGGACTCCTGAATTCCATGTGGGTTTTCAGTCGTACCCTTTGTTCAGTTTGAAGGCCGCCTGTGAGTGACAGTGGAAGTCTTTCTGTTGGGAACCTGATGTGATGCCTCCTCAGTCCCAGCTCTGGGGACTTCAGGGCATATCAGCAGTGCCGAGTGACACTCTGTCAGTCTGCCATCATCTTCTTTCAGAGGCATTTTTCTCTCTCTGACTTTGCTTTGAAATTTCTTTCATTCCCTCCCTGAGCCCTTAGCAGTTTTTGCAGTCTTATCCGAATCTTTGGCTATGCTCTCCTTCTTTAATTGTGAACCTCACATTTACAACTTAATTATGAGACTTTAGGTGCTGAGAGAAGTATTGCAGCATTTCCTCCTGCCAATACATTTCTTTTTCTTACTTTTTTTGTATTTCTTGTTCTTCTCCACCCCACACAGCTTACATAATTCTCTTCCCCCTATTTCCAGTTCCTTACAAGACCAGCATTTGTTAGCTTTGTGCATTAAAGGGAAATACGATTTTGTTTGGTTTTGCCCTAAGGAAAGACAGGATGATTGTGATTCATTTTCTGAATGAAAATGTAGATTCAAGCCCCTGAGGCATCGAAACAATCTTTGCTATTTCCCTCCCACTTTGAAAGAAATAAAGAATGATGCTGGCAGAGAAAAGTATGTAATTTGTTGATCAAATAATGCCCCGATCTGGTGCTTCTGCTGACCCACACATCCTCTGCCAAACTACAGCAGAGACAAAGCCAGTGACACAAGCAACAGCTTCCTTCCCGTCCTTGGTTCAGCAACCAGCAGCTTCAGGTACCGATGCTGAGTCTCTCTTCAGTGGATACTGCCCAGCTGTACTGAGTAGGGTGAGAAAATCCAAAATTATTTCCCCCATCCCACTTTTCATATATTAGAGCCTCCTTTAGAAAGCCTGAATATGCCTTCTGCTGAAAAACTTTCAACCAAAGTTCCTGATAAATGAGTAAACCTAGAGTCAGTTTACCTATGCCACACAAAGCAGCACTAGTAGCTGTGCAGGTAGAAAACAAACAGCAGGAGCTACAGCTTTTTACCACCTTTAGGCAATGAATCATTTTGAATGTGGTGGCAGCAGTTCATCTGTGTCACCTCTGTGGTGGGTTACAGCCGTGCAATATATTTGGTCATGAAGAACATCCTCCTCCTGCACCTTCAAAGGTTTGCAAAACTTGGATGTATCTCCTCAGGAACAAACAAGCTCAGCCTGCTTCCTTACAGCCTACATTGGCTTCTTGTAGTTTTTGGAATTTAATCCAAGGTCTTGGACTTTAATTTAAAAGGCCATATTTGAGTGCAGTTAAAAGGCTTGCTAGAGCTCATAAATATAGACCATCATCAATAACTTTATCCCTCTATCACATGAAGGTTTTACAGGGAGAATTTTCTAAAACTGGAGCACTGAATCTCATAGGAACACAGGATCGTCACGAACTGTACTGGTTTCATCTTCAAGTACAAAGTGCTTTTTAAATCTAAACTTCTTACATAAACATAGGGGAAATATGAAAAAGATAAATAAATAAAAAAATAAACTGCAATGCTTCATTGCACACACATTCCTTCACGGGGTGTGCATGAGAAAATGAATATGACAGCTCTTAGTCATGTTGCTTACTGCTGTTCTAGAGGGTAATCTCATACCATGTTAGTGAGTGATGTATTTGAACTGGATCTGCATAGTATATGCATTTTTGTCTCTGAGATTAGCACTAGAAGAAGTGAAAATGCACTGGAAAAATGACAGAATTATATCAAATATTCTATTTTTTCCTGAGACAGGACTGACTAATGCCATTATACAGAACTAAAAGCTCTTGCAAATTATATTTTTTTCATTTCTGCTGCTTGTATGTTCTACCAAACTTTATCTGTCCAGGTCCAAATTCTGATTTTCTTGTATCTTCTTTTCTTTGTATTCTATAAATTCCCACCTCTCTATAAGTTCAATCAACTCAAAGTCCTGAAATTGGGAAGCACTGCTTGTTTTCCAGATGATGGCAACAGTTTTTTGGAGGCAGTTTCCTGCTGCTCAGTAGCTTTGTGATTCTGCTGGTGGGATCAATTTCTTTTTGCAACTCTTTTAGCTGAATCTCCAGTAGTGAATACAGACTAAAAAGAAGATTAACATGCTCCCCCTTTGGTCCTACACCCAAAGAGGGACAAACCTGTCTCCCATGTTCCTGGCATGTGCACAGCTTTGCCTCCCCTCTCTGCTCCCTCTTTTCATCCATCCAGCTGGCACAGACCGGAGGATGTGCTCCCCCTCAGTACTCCAAGCAGGGATGGTTGCTATCCATACCAGGTGACATTAGTGCTAATTTCCTGTAAGTTGCAACAGAATAAAGAAGAGGCCTCTTTCTAAAAAATCTTTCCGGCTTGCTTAAAAACACTCTCTGTCTTCTTTTCTTCCTGTGTGTAGCTTGAAGAATCAATAAGGCTTCAGCCTCTTAGCCCTGAGCAGTAGAGAAGCTATTGCTACAGGCTCAGCAGGAGGAAGAGCTAGGGCAAGTAAGGAGCCCAGAGATAATCAAAAGTGCCCTCCCATGGCTCAGGATGTTGCCAAGTGCTTGGAGCAGAACCAGAAGGCAATATACTACAGCGCTTTGTCAAGCAAGGAATCATCTTCATTATCCCCACTTAATTATCTCTGAATTTCACTAATTGCACTTACCTTTACCTTACCCTTACCAACAGGGCCTGGCCACGTGTTGCTCTATAATACCACTTTTGAAAAACTCTGTATATCTTCATATAGGTGCTCGATGACTATTAAAAGGGGTAAGTTGCCTCTTCTACACATCAGTGTATAATGCCATGACAGTCTGGTACAGAGGTTATGTATACAGTGAAATTATTCTCAGTATCCAATGACATTTCAGGCTGCCTTTACAGTTTGTTTCCCCTTACAGTATTCCTACTGAAAGCAAACAAACAAAAGGCACTCCCCACAGAACCCCCAAACACCTCCAATCAAAAAACAACCAAACCAAACAAACACAAACCAAATCAAACCAAAAACCCATAGAAAAAGGGACTCTTCTCAATCAATACCACAGGAAGTGGGGAAGAGGGGAGGTATTTTGTTGGTTGTTGATCAGAAAAAAAATCTGTTAGTAGTATTTAAAGATTTAGGACTCTTTTTTTTTTTTTTTTTAAGGGAATCATGCAAATGATATCTATCATGTTAAGAGTGATAACTGTAAGAATCTACTCTTGACCATGGAAAGTCACAGAGAAAAGCCCATTTACCTTTGGGTAAACTTTTGGCTGATGAAGAAAACCAACACAGTACTGAAATTACACCTAGAATGCAGAAAACTATTAATACAGGGGTGGATTGCATCATTTGCTGGACTCTGTCATTTTGCTTGGGTACACTGCAGATTTCCAGAGTACTTTGCCCTAAATCACGGGCATGTGGCTTTGAGGATCATGAGGAAATCTGCATTGTTGCTATATTTAAAAGGATTGTTATTGCACACTTAAAATCGCTTAAGAGGACATATTTTGGTTTAGTGAAAAGAAGCAATAAAGATAAGAACAAATGCACTGAATACAACAGCAACCTACATTTGTCAAATGGGTGCTTCATTAGGTCACAGGAAAACTCTGCCATCAGAGAGGCTCAATAGCACTGGCATATCCTCAGCACAGAGGTACCAGTGTCTCTCTCGGTATCTGGGACTCGTTTCTTTTTCACAAACATGAACCTTCTCAGAATTTCCTCTTCCCTGTGACATTTGTCTCTTTCCCTTTGAGACCAGTGGCCTTCTTGCCCTTTACAACAGCAATTCAAGCATGATAAGTGGTGTAGAAAACCTTGCATGAATTCTCTAGCTCCTTCAAGAGGGCTAATCCACCATTTAAGTCCCACAGGCTTAAATGCTTTTTCATCACTTGACCTCTTCATGAAGATGAATTTCTCCTACAGTGTGGATGGAATCCAACAGTTGTTACTCTGTCAGTCAGAAGAAACTATAAAGCAATACACAGTAAATAGTATATAAACAGCAAATAAAATAACAGAATTTGTAATTATCTGTAAAACACCAGTGTCTCATGGATTATTTTCTTGGATTTCTGTTTAAAATCTCAGAATCAATATTTTGAGAAGAATATGACTACAACAATTCTAGTGGAAACAGCAAAATATGCTCAGTGAACAGTCTGTGTGTACAGCCACTGGTCTAAATCAACTCCACTGCCAAACTGGCAAGCACCAGGCAATATGTAAAATGAATAGACAATTCAGAAATGTCCAACAGATAACTAAAATTGAAATTTTATTTTTTTTCAATAATATTCATCAGACAATTTTCTGACAAGACTTTTCTGAAAGATGAAGTGCAAATGGGAACCCTGTAAGAATGTTTAGAAGAATTGTACATGACATTTTTAAGCGCCACTAAGTACACATTGAATACTTTGTAAGTATATAGGCATAGCAACATGCAAGTGTCATGTACCCAACATTACAATATGCATTTTGTCTGCTTAAAGTTCTTAATGAGGAAATAAAATGAAGTAAATGTGTCTTATCATCAGTGCAATATGTTTAATTCCCGTGGATTTTTTTTTTTTTTTTACAGGTTAGCGGTTTTATTTCCGACCCATTTAAATATGTCCTTTCCAGGGCCATAAACTGCCAGTGTAAGAGCAGAGTATACTGGAGTTCCTAGGAGAATACACTTACACTGACCATGAATAGATGAAGTTGTTATAGTCCTTTCACAAATTATGCCTTATTATTTATTCTAGGAAACTTCCTGCTGAACTGAAGGTTTTTTGTAGTTATAAAATATCTAGGCTAAAAGTAAAGGATGCACAAGGATTGCTTTATAATTCTTTTGAAAAAGAGCTAAATAGCAACTCAAACATGTGCATTAAGGACTTGAGCCTTGTTGTCTTCTAATCAATAGGCGTATTGTACTCAATTTTTATGGAAGCAGGACATATATGAATCCAGTAATCCATGAGCTCACTCTCTTGCCTCACTGTTTAGGCAGAAGCAGATGACTGTAGGTTATATTTGCATATTTTTATGGAAGCTATAGAGGGATATAAGCAAATCTGCATCCACTGAAAAAGGACAACTTGTGAAACTGCATATTTACTAACATTAATCAATATGCATAGAAAGGAGAGAAAGAGGAAATGATAAAGAAATCAGCCCAGCAATTAAAGATTATCCTCCTCTTTATAATCAACACAAAGAATTGATGATCATCCTTGCCATTTTCTCTACAAGTTATTAGTTTAAAATCCCTCCCTTTAAACTTATTATATAAACCCTTCAATATTTCATTTTGGAATAAGATAGAGGAAAATTAGCATGTTTAGGAGAAAAAAGCATTGGTGATTTCCAGCACTATGCATAAGGGCAGCATAAGGCTGTCTGTTTGTGCTGAAATGTGAGATCAGAGCTCACAAATGAAACACTGTTGGCTTGACCCTGAACACAGGGAAAGTGCTAAAGTGCTGACCCCAACAGGCTTGGCTTTGCACCTGAAATCTTAAAAAACAGAAGCAACAAAAATCCTTGAACTTTTCTTTAATAGTTGCACAGACTGCTCCTTTCCAATTAGATCGCTGCTTTTAGCCCAGCAGAGAATAAATGTTTTAAGACACAGAATGTGGAGGGCAGATCTACAGTAAACACAGAAGCCACAAAGAATTTTTTTTCTTCTATTTTTTCCATCTATTGCATGGCTCTGGAAGCCCCTAGTACTGTAAAGTCATCATACTGGCTTCACACCTTCTGTCTGGTTGTGAGTACACTAAACACTGCTGAAGAAAACGAACACAGCTTGGCAACAAGATGATTCCTAGATGCTGGAAGAATTCCCTTAAGGGCTGCTGGAAGCGCACAAGGCTTGGAGCATCCTGAGGATGTGGAGTGATACAGAAGTGTGCTGTTAAACCATGTTTGTACCCTTATTTTCTCCTGAGTTAAAAGAAGTGCAGAGTGCTGGGTTAGATTCCTCGATAGCAAGAAGGAACTGTGCTAGTTTCTTTTAATGCACAAGGTCCACTCTGAAAAACCAAGCAGGAAGTCCTACTCTTGAAAAGAGTTTCTACTCTGCTGTGTTGACATCAAAGGCTGCTCTATCCATTTAATTTTCTCCTACCGTTTGCAAGAGTCCTTCTCTGTTCCCCACGCATTGAGTGTTTTAAATGTAAACATGCCCTGGCATTATTATGCTTAAATAAGTAAGAGACAAGTCAGGATATCTAAACAGTAGTGATATTGCATATTTAATTCAAAAGCTTGCATGTGCTTTTAAAAGTTTCTCTTCGTACCTGCACGCCTTACTGGTAAGAACTGTGTTGCAGTTGGATTGCACATCATTATCTAGTGCTGACTAAATATTGATGTGTTATAGCAGTTTATTTTTAAGCTGTTTGGGATGAATCCCCAGCCAGTGTAAATTGGCCCACATTTAAGGCAACAGAGTGAAGCTGATTTATACCAGCTGAGGCTGTGTCTTTATGCCCTGTTAAAAGCTCAAACTACCCAAAAATTACTCAAGAACAGGGCAAGAATTATGAACCCAGGCAATATTTTTTTATAGTTTTAACAGAAAAAAAATAAATACAGTGATATAGTTTCAAGACTAAACCAAAGGTTCAGTAGTATTTAAAATGTATACAAATATCTCATAGCTAGTATTAAGACTAAGAGGTAGATGTCATATTCTAGGAACAGTATAGTGTGGAATGGTGCTAATGGCAGTTTCTAAATGCATGTATTTGCCTGTTACACAGGACACAAAGGAGGGTTATAGCAATGGCCACCACAAGAAGGCTTACAATATTCTTTTCTTCATTTGCTGCTCTATGTTATCTGTCTTTCAGTGCATTTCTTCTGGAAGGGTATGATGGAAACGTGTCAAGAAGCAAAAAGCTCAGTAATACAAAACTTCATGTTTACAAAATGTTAGCGTTATAATTAAAGGCATCCTCTGTACTTTAATGGAAGCATTTTGTACTTACAATGTAACATTACCTGGCGTTACTGAGAAAGTAGTGGAAATTCCAGGTGAGGTGATTCAGCAAAATAGGGGTCAGAAGAATGCAGCTCTCTCTCTTTCTCTCTCTTTCTCTGTTGTTCATGCTAAAAATACCAGGGCATATGGCAGCATATTTCAGCATCTTAACATACTAGGTTCCCTTGAGGACAGAAAAAAAGAGGAAACTTGTGCTGTTGAGCCAGAAATAAGATTACAGAACAGCGTTGCCAGATAGAGCGCTGGCAGCCAAGCCATTAGCGGAGTCAGTGCCTTACTTTGCCTAAAGGTGTTTCAGTGATATTTAATGAGCCTCCAAGAAATGGAAAGCAAAGCTAGTGAGAATGAGGAGTGGTATAAGCATTTTTATAAATTAGTTGTCATCGCAAGTAGAGGAATTACACATATTGCATTAGGATATCCACTGCTTGTACATGTACCTTCCGCTTTTTCCTTGTGACTGTCAGGGGTCACCCCCTTCCTGAAATAATCAAAATGCATATTATAATTACACGGTTTTCCAATATCCATACACAGCAAGTACAAGATACTTACATGTAAGTACACTGTATTTACCTATATTTTTGCATAGTTTTTAGTGTGTACTTTGTGCCACTTAATAAAAAGCATTACTCGTTATTTTTGTTGTTGTTTGTTTTTCTCCATTAGACAGCTTATTCAATTAAAGTTGAAGTAGCTGGGATTTTTGGTATGTTCATCACAGATTACCAGTTCCTAGGAGCGTAGAGAATAGACATTTGGAGGAGTCTGGGTAAGTGGTGGGGGAAGCTGCAGTGTGAACATGAAGTTTTAAATCACCTCCTTAATCAAGAAATGCAATATCAGATTTACGATGCTAATTTAATAAACTTACCTTTAATTTGAATGGAATTGTAAAGGTAAGAACTCCATTTTCCTTTTGGTAACACTTTACAATAAGTGGCACTAAATTACACTATAACTGCTATGTTACAGGGAATTACATGTAACTACACTGTAACTGTTGAAAGAGCTACTGTACATGTGCGTACATGGTAACTTCAGTGCTGTTACAATCATGAATTACATAATTACAGATGATTCTGTCCTTTCTTTTCATTGAAATAGGTATATATATATATATATTATACTGCAATGAAAATACACAAGATGTTGACTTTCATGTCTTACTTAGAAAAGTTGGTTTTCTTCATGTGTTCCTTTATAGAGGGAGTCTCAGTGCAAGACGAACCATCCTTAAGTAAATGTGGAAACTTTTTGAAGTGTTCTAGCTTAAACTCTGAGCCTCAAGTTAAACATCAGGTTCCTTAAACTGTCTCTTGGTTTGTCAGATGACACTAAAAGAGTGGGATGATGCACCCCTTGTCTTCTGATGCACCGCTTTCTTGTTCAAATCATGAGAATGTTCTTGAAGCGTTAAAAAAAAAAATCTACATCAAAAAGTTTAAAAATAATCAGCAAATAGACACTGTAAACAGTACACTGGCAGAAACTAGCTACCTGGTCTTGAGAAAACTACTCTGCAAGTTAAGTGTGGGAGAGGATGTCACATACATCGTGAACAAAGGTGGTTCCCATTCAGGACCTCCATTTTACACACTCGATGGACACCTCACACCTTAGTAAAAGCAATTTTTCAGAATGGGAACTTGGACAAAGGGAATGGACAACTGGCTTTTAGCCTACTTAATGTGATTGAGTTGATCATGCTGAGCCATGATTCTGCTCACAGAAAAGAGGGATGCCTCTTTACACCTAGTGTAGTAATTTCAACCCGTGAAAACCAGACAGGCCTGCAAAGTGCTACCCAGGTAGAATGCTCTGTGTGGGGTTTCTCACACCTGTGCTGTGCCCAGATGCAAGGGACATCACCAGGCACAAGATAATGGAAGATCAACTGCGTTAAAAAAGGGCACATGTGAGAAGTTTTAATTGAAAGCCAATGAAAACTAGTTTAACAGTACAATTTATATCAGTACAATTTATATATATTTTCTTTTTTTTTTTTTTTTTGCCAAGTTGAAATGCTGTTTCTATGCCACCGGAGAAAATGGTTAGAAATTGTTACCACAAGGCCAATTCTCCTTTGGAAGGTCCTACCTGACCTTGGTAGGGCAATGATTCAAGTAACAATTCTACCATTAAAACAAGCTGGAGTTCAGAAGAATGAAAAAAGTTGTAAACACCACGCAGGTGGGGAATTCCACTGGAGCAAATAAGGCTCTCATCCAGGGAAGCACTTATTTTTTAAGCATATGAATAGTGCCTTATACTCCAGTGGAACTTCTCTGATGCCCGAAGCTGACTATGTGCTTAAAAGCTTCGTTGAACTGGGCCCCAGGTCCTGAAATAAAAATTTGTCATAGGTGATACTGTACTGTAGCTAATGTAACTTAATGTCACTGCTGTGATAAGAACTGATATTTTTGGTATTAAACTGAATAACTTCCTTTGCCAGCCTTTCACATGTGTATGTTTTGAAAGACATGAATATCTTGTAAACCTATACTAGTTTTCAATGTGTCTAGTAGCACCTACCTGGTTCTCTCAAACTACCATATTATATTAACATATTATTGCATTTTTCCACAGATGGGTATGGAGTGAACTGTAAAAACAAGCATGCAATCACATCAATGCAGACTTATTTCTTTAAAATGTCATACTGTATATGATTTATTATGTTAACACTCAACCACATCATATTATTTATGTCTGTATATTTTGAAAAAAAGTGCTGCTTTGATTGACGTCACCTTTTTTTCTTAGAAATTAACAAGATAAATGCTTCAACAAAAACAATTAAAATACTCTAATATTGTCCTTAAAAGGTTTATATTCTTCTGATAAATAATCTGACACAGCACCTTTATCTTCCATTTTACCATACTACATGATGTCATACTCCAAACTCTCCCTTCCCCACACAAAAATAAAATCCCAGGAGAAAGTCCTTTACAGCAGACCATCATGCTTTTATGCTTCACAAATACAGCAACCAGAGAGAAATACTTTTTTTTTTTTTTTTTTTTGACAAAGGTGCAAAACGTAGGAGCAAAACAAGCTCCAGCTAGGCTAACTCACGTTCTCCAGTGTAGAATCGTTCCCAAGAGCTGTTATGGCAACCTTTTCATTTCATTGGAAGAGGAAATAAGCCGATGGGCTTACAGTGTTTTGTTGTCATATTTAAGAGCATGTGATTTTTCAGCTGTCAATTACACAAAAAAAAATTTCAGAAATAATCCAAACAGAGACTTTCACTGTGGAGCTAAAAGCATGGCAGGAATTCTCTATCATTCACGGTGACATAAGTTTGTACCTCACAAAATGCATAGACAGGAATTTAATATAAAGAATTAGTCCATTTACTGTATACACAAAACATATATCTTTTGTTTTACCACTTCTATTTTTAATTTTTCTTTTTTTTCTTTTTTCTTTTTTTTTCTTTCTTTTTTTTTTTTTAATTTTTTCCTTTTTCTTTTTTTTTTTTTTTGGCAAACCAACATAGAGAAGCAGCTCTGGAACTGCCAAACTAAAAATTGAGAATTTTAGCAACTCAATAGTATTTTTTAAGGATAGTAATCAAATGTGGTTGTAATTTAAAACCTGAGGCTGTGCACTGGTTGTTAGCTTAAAACTACCTTCCCATATAACATTGTGCTTCCATTGTATAACAAAGAAAAAATTAACAAGAACTAGAAAAGTTTGCTGCTGAACAGTGCTAGGACATACAGACAAAAAAATACTAATACATGTTATCTACTCAGAATATTGATTTGAGTCATATCTAAAGGGATATAATGGACATTAGAAAATGCTTACTTGTGACTGACTTAGCTACTGCCAAAAAAAAGTTGAATATGTATCAAATAATGTTTAATTGAATTTATTATATGCACTATATACAGATACTAAAATGCCTTGCAGTTGTGTCCCATGAACACTTCAAATTTGAGTAGGCAGGTGAGTTCATGTTTAGCAAATAAATTATAAAAACATAAATTACTCAGAAAGTTCTCTAATCTTTGTGATTCCAAAAGCCAGTAAAAGGGTAGGACAAATTGTTTCAAATAAAGCACTATTATCTAACTTTGCAGAATCTGTATAGCTATTCAGCATGTTTTCACCACTGAAACATGGCATTGTTATCAAGGTACCACTTCAATCATAACAAAGCAAAGCAAAACAAAACAAAACAAAAAAATTCACTGGGCTGATCTTTTTTTTCCACCAAACCCGAACATAAAGGAAACTATACTAAACAGATTTCAAATTGTGTTTCCAAGGGCAGATGTTTCAAAAACAAGTTGCTCTCTGAATTACAGATAGACACATATAAAACATTCTTTGTAAACCTCTAATCTTAGACTTAACATTTTCTGTGAGTAAATTAGGACCTTACCTAATAGTATTCGTTATGAATTTTGTTCTATGACATACTAGTAGGGACATGATAAAAGAAAACTGAAAAAGAAAGCTGCATAACATTTAAAAATGTAGAAAACTTGGATTAAGATGATGATTAACATTGTTAAGGCTGTATATTCAAGCACTGTATGTTAAGAGAGCAGTGGATATGATTTTTAGGCAATAAGAAATGTCCTGTTTTACGCATGATACTGTAATTATAGAATGATGATGTCAACAGCTGATTGTTGGCATAAACTGGCTACTTATAGCAGGTATGAGAGTTAATAAAGATAGCAGAAGATGGCAGAAATGAATTCTGAGAAATGATAGCCAGTTTTCTCCAGCAGTCAGCCTGATAAGTAAAACTCCAAGATTCTAGCTCTGCATCTAAATGAAATACTCCTTTTTCTCCTCTGCATTGACTTGGCTGCCTTCTGCATTGATAATGGCTGTGTCGGCATCAGGTGCATCTTCAGCTCCTTTTGCTTCATTTGTTAAATATGTTCCTATAGGAATCAGTACAACAGACAAGAAAAAAAAAAAGAGAAAGATTAGGTTTTTTTTTTAGTTTTACGCTGCATTATAGGAAGTACATTTCTAACAATGCTCCGATTATTTCATGAATGGACAAATATTTTTACACAGTCTTAGTATGCATCATAAAGGTATGATCAACTTTCTCATTTGCTTAAGAAATATTTACACTTTTTATACTGCTAATGCACATACACAAACTACATTATATTCACAATAAATTAAGGAATTATTTTAATAAAAATCCACTTTATCTAACTGTAGTAATATGCAATACATTTTGCAGTTCTAGAGTAAGTGATAAAATCTTGGTTGTTTCACGGAGTAATTACCTATCAAAACCAAACTAACTTTGAAGACTTAGATATTCATAAAGGTATTTTGGTTTTCATTTTATTTTAATGGCCACTGATTATTTGTACTTCTTTCTTGATCATATCTATGCTTTATTTTACATAACTGTATCAATGAAAGAATTTAGTAGTTTAAGAATTACAAAATTGAGGCAGTTTTATTATCTGAACCAAGTCACATTATACTATCCCAGCTATCTTTACGCTCCGGATATGAATAAAAAGAATTGTGTACAAGAGTCAACTTTCCCTTTGTCAGAAGCATTATTTATGTTGGCATAAGAAGTATAACTGTTCATTCAGAAAAGTAAAACAGAAGAGACACACTTTCATTGGCTCATTAAAAAAATAATCTTGGTTTTTCCTCACACAGTCCAATGGAATTAAAAAGATGTCTTTATGAGCTTATGTTTGCTAGGCATATGATCATCTAACATGAGATTTAATTAATTAATACCAACACTCATCCTCTCTTCATTCCTTTTTAAAAATTTTTTGAGGGGAGTGGCATGGAATCAACTAAGTTTTAACAACAGGTCTACAAAACTTGCAGAGGTTAAATCTCAAGAAATGATTTTGGAATTAGCTAGGTCAAAATCAAATCTTAGGGAAGTCAGAAATCAGTGTCACTCCATCCCTGTTATCTCTAAGGGCAGAGGGGACTGAAAAAGAAAATAGCAGAATTACTAAGGTGAAATCACTGAACAAAGTAAAGATTGTCCCAGGAATTAACCCCTTATTCCAGAGGGATCCTTGTAAACTGATTTGAAAATTCACCACTGGTTTCTAATATTATCTTTTGAATACACACTTAAAATATCAGCATAATTTATTAAAATGAAAAATCTTGTTCACTTGATATATATATATACGTATATATATTCTGCTGAATTGATATACTAGTTAAAACTATGGGATCATGTAATTAAGTGTCTAGGTTAAGGGCCAAAACCAAGAGGCAATCTTACCTCTTAGTCTCTCTGAATAACTGACTTATAAGATGACATGTCCTTTGCCTTAGCCAGCCCACTGGAAAACTGGGCAAAATTCACAGGTGCTTCACTTGCAACTGGACTGTGAACTAAACTCTTTTACTCAAAGCATTTAGCAGATGGGGGAAGGCGAAGGGGAATGGCACTCCCAGGTGAATTCGGGCCCTGCTTCCAAAAGTGATGGAACTTCTGCTAAATCTGCCCTACCTTTATGTCTTGCCAGGTATCGACCAAGGAGAATTATAGAACATAGTGTTACAAAGACAACTACAGCCACTATTCCTCCTATAAGAGCGTGGTCAGGTCCGGTCTGTCCAGCCAAAGCATTTGGATCTGGAGGGAGAAAAAAAAAGCAAGAGTGGTCCTACCAGACAAAATGTGACAGGAAAATTCAGAATACCAAGCTTTATACTGATCATCCTGAAAATAGGGCATTTCCTTCTTTAATATTCAACATGGTTATTCCCACTTTTACCCCCAGTAACTTATCAACAACACAGTGCTGCTTGTATTCCCAGATTGCTAAAACCCTGAGGACATTGCTGTTATGAAAAAATATTACCTTATTCTTCTTTTGGCAGAGGTTATTAAATGGGAAAGGTTTGTAGTTTTGTCCTCATCATTTCACAACTGAAAACCTGGCCATAGCTATTTATAGAAGGAAAAACAAGGAACTGAGAATTGAGGATTGGATAGCATCAGCAGAATAGTGTCTGCATAATACATAATTTATAGAATTGATTCTCAATGGGGAACCCTTATATGTTCTTTTCTCTTCATTCCTATCCTATTGCACCAGAAATAAAAAGGTAGATAAAGTGCAGCCGTGCCGAGCTCTCCTCTGCACATGGCTGAGTCTGCATGAATTTGGTCAGATAAAGGTATCAGGTAACCTGAAAGATCATCATTCAGTCTCAAGTGTCAGTTTGTGAACTTACTATGACTGCTTGATTAATACCCAGTGCGAGTCAGCCGCAATAGATATAACCATGTATTAGCAGGTTCATTTTATTAACTCTGTTCAGAGCTCTAGCAATGCTGTCAGATTCAAGCTTTCTGTGCTGGCCATGAGCCTGTTACATTGCCTGATGCTTCACAAGAGTTGCAAAGAAGCAATCATGGGAAATGGCCTTACTTAGTGGTGAGTAATTCTTAGGAGCTTTTCAACAATGAACCAGCAACCTGTGACTGTTGACTCACCAGATAAAGGTAAAAATTCAATCTAAGGATCATGGTAAGATTTTTATTATAATGAAAACGCCTCTCCTATGAAGTAATAGTAATTCTCTGAAGATGCTATTAGCATGTACTGTATGCTGCAATCAGTCCACTCTCACTGCTTCAAGGGCATTTCCCTTGTATGAGCTGTTTATATTCCACAAATAGTTTGCAAACAACTTCTTTGCTTTGAAAAAGGGAAAGGTAGGAAACATATTTACATAGAAAAGAGGCATTCTGAAACTACACTTGCAGATTTGCTGGAGCACAGAGTGATTTGGCCACTGTTACAGATTCAGTTCTGCTCTTCACAGTCACTGGACTCATCAGACTTGATTGTCACTTGTTCCTGGCCTTCAGAGCTCCTACATCGTTCTCTTCTGGCTGCCAAGAGGACTTTGGGGAAGCTGATCACATCATGTAGACATGACAGCAAATGATAGGTTTAGGGCCTCAAAAAAGCTACAAACATCCTATAAAATCAGCTGTGGCTGCTCCCTCCTCCATCTCCACGGAGCTCCTGGGACAGTACAACTGTTGGTGTCACTATGCTGAGCACCCATAATCAGCCCTAGGGCACTTAGGCTCTTTCTGATGATTAAAACTGAACCCCAAGTTCTGTGCACCAGTAGAATCACAGGGGAAAGCAAGAATGCTGAAGCACTGCCTTGGCACAGCAAGAGCTTGGAGCGTGCAGCCATCCTCTCCCGTGCCTTGCAGGGGCTTTATTTTCTGAGAGGAGCAAGGAGGAGGTGACTGCTCACCTGACAAGATGAAAGGTGACAGCTTGCTGCAGGAATGCCAGCCCTGCTTGAGCCATCTAGAAAATTCCTCCTTTTGTGGTGCCTGTGGCGATGCTGAGGTAAAGCTCCTCCCTGCAGCACAAAGGCAGCACCCATCTGGGCTCTGGGGACCAGGTCCTGTGTGAGACCTGCAGGAGATGCTCTTCTACAACACTGGGTCAGGAGGAGCAGCAAGAATGTGTTTTCCCACTAAAAGCTAACTATTCCTGCTAGTATACTGGCAGCAACACTAAAGAACAAGAGGAGATATTTTAAGGGATAACAGACTTCCTGATGCAGAGTATAATGCAGACAAGGGGTAGCACAGAACTTTAGAGGCATTTTTTGAAAAGCTGATTGAAGTGCACAGCCTTACCTCAATACCCAGATTTACAGTGTATGTCCCCTGTGACCTTTAATAAACATTTTAGATAAAAATCCTCACAATACACTGAGTACTCCTCTGTTTCAATCCTATATATAGTGACTCACTCCTCTGACATACCGGATGTGACCTCATGAAGTGACCTAAAGCCTGCATAAACATAAGGTTTCCACCTATAAGTGCAGATTAATGAGATTCTAATGCTGGTATGGGTTGAAATTTTTAACATTAAAATTAATGTAGGTATTCACTGGATTGCAAAAGTAGTATTTTCTTTTTTGCTGTGGTCGCAACCTTGCTATCAAGGCCAAATTATATTGGTTAGTATTGCTAGAGAAGTTTGTCCAGGAAAAAACTTATACATGACCTATTACCAATGTACAGTATTATACATATTGTAATAATACATATTCCCAATGAACAAATTATTTATTAAAAAGGAAAAAGAAAAGGAAGGAGATGGAGGAGAAGGATATGAAGATCCTTAAAAGTGGCCAATGTTTTCTTGGGAAACAAGCATTTTTTCATCTCAAAATGAAAATCTCTACAACATAAACAATATTCTGAACAGGAAGCATACCTCATGAATAGTCTCCTCATTGAAAAATAATGTTAGCATTAAATATAAACATGCTCCACATTATGCATACACAGTAATGCACTATACTTTTGCCTTTCATGAAATGACCTAAGCCCCATAAGTGAATTATAGATCTGGGGCTATCTATTGTCGTATTAATAATTTCTATGTCAAATTGTGCCTGATCAGTGTTTGAAAGATAAAAATACAGGGATTTGGAAACTATGCTTTTTGTATTTTAGGTATCTATAAAGCATTATTCATACTTATAACCCAGCTGTTTCCATTAAAAAAAAAAAAAAAAAAAAGAGATTACACTGTTACTGTGTCAAGTATATACTGTTTTTTCCTGCATGACCACAGAGAGCTACAGGAGTCATGGCCTGAAACAGTGACATTACAATTTTGCAATCAGACTGGGTCTTCTTCAAAGATCAGTTCTTCTTCTGTTTATTTCATCTTTTGATGAGACTGAGAAAATCTTATAGAAAGATAATGACACAAAAGCTCATAACTTTCTTTTATTTGCTTTTGTTCTAAATTTAGGAAGCCTCTTCAAAGTACTGATTGCTGATGCTGCAAAGATGTACCCATTTTCAACTTCTGGGATTTTGCTATTATTTTTTTTCACAGAGTGAATACACTTAAATGAAATAACACACACTTAAATTAAATAACACTCTTAAAATGATTAAAAGTAAAAAAAATGTATAATTCACCAGAAAATGAAACACATCAGATAAATCTTAGACCTATTAAATAAGCAGATATGTGCTTTTATGACCTGATGACAAAGTTTCAGTGTAGAATACTTTAATATGAATTCACACTTTAGTTAAGCAGAGAAATTTTGGAACAGTTTTTCATGCTTTTGCATAAAGTATATGTTAATTATTCATCTAATTTCAGTTTCTTCATGCATAAGTTTCCTTCTTATTTATGCATAGTTGACTTGACTGAGCAGGCTGCAGGAAAGGGTCAGATAACCCTTTCCTGAGCAAAGGCAGAACAAGCACATTTGTGAATGCTGAAATAGCATATTTTTGGGAATATATGCTCAAGTAGTCCTCTCTACTGTAGAACTTTATCAACATGTATTTTCATCTCACATCTGATTTTTTTTAAAAATCACTCTGAGATGACCTAGGTTTGAGGCATCCAAAATAATAATTTGTTTTGACCATTTGTACTAAAAGAAAAATTGGAAATGAAGGTCCTAATTTGCTGTGAAGCTTAAAGAGCATTCACTAAATGAAGAGATATTAAGTATATATATTATTCATAAATGACTGTTCCCTAAGGCTGTGAAAAGAACAGGGATGTCCCATTTCTCACAGAAGTACTGAAACCACCAACCTACAGTCACTTTTACTGATTTCATGAATAATCAATTGCTGTGGCACAGTAGAGTCACTCCAACAAGAGATCCTGAGGCTCCATGTTGCAATTTATATGGCAGAAAAATCTCTTCAAATGGCTCCTGCTTCTTTCCCCATATTCAGGGTCTTGCTATCACCCCCAGTACAACTTGGCAATACTTCACATCTTGCAAAAGCAATTGTTTGAAGGACCAGGCTCAAAATCAGATCAGTAAAGCAATGTGCTTTTTAGGGTGGAGAAACCCAAAAAAGTACAAAAATTAAATAAATTACTCTGTCATATTTGAGAGGCTGTTGAATTGGTGCAGCCAAGAGTGAAAAGGAGTGGTGGGAGACAGTGAACATTTCTGGAGAAAAATCTATCAAGGAACCACAAATTCTGGGGCATCTACAAGTGCCCTACTTTCAAGTGCTCTGGCCAACAGAAAGTAAACTGCAAAAAACTATGGGAAGAAAGTAGTTTTGGGTTTTGTGGAGGCCACCAGTGAATGTAAGTTACATTAGAAATATTACCCTGCATGTCAGTGTAATTTCCTAAGGAGAGATATCTTGTATGATCATGCTCTCACTCTCTCCAAATTACTTAAGAACCATGGGTCCATTACAGCAGGTTTCAAGAGGCAGTAAAGATCTCAAGATTATTGTTTTCCTATAACTAACCTGGGAGTGCAGGTTACAGCAGGAGCTCAGACCTTATGAGATATCAGAGAATGTGTAAGATAGATACCTTTGTAAAAGCCCTAACAGAGACAAAAGCTTCAGTCAAAATCTCTGCCCAAGAATCAATTTTTCATTAGAGTTTTCAATTTTTCATTAGAGATCTCTCTCCATTGCAAATACTTTAGTGCCCAATATGGCACAGATCCTGTTTTAACCTTTTCCCACAGTTAGGTGGCATTTATAACATCTGAGCCCTTCCTACCTCTCCTTTTTCCCCTTTCCCCCCAAACCCACCCTTCCTGCTTCTCTTCCCTCCTGTCTCATTAGGG